AGGTCCTTTGCCCCTTTTTTGATTGAGTTGTTTTCTTACTATTGAGTTTCTTGTATATTTTGGATATTGGCCCCTTATCAGATGTATAGTTTGCAAATATTTTCTCCAATTCCATAGGTTGTTTCTTTATTGTTTACTTTGCCGTACAGCAGCTTTTTAGTTTGATACAATTCCATTTATTTAGTTTTGCTTTTGTTCCTGTGCATCTGGGGTCATGTCCAAGAAATCTTTGCCTAGAACACTGTCACAGAACATTTCCTTTATGTTTTCTTCTAATAGTTTTACAGTTTCAGGGCTTACATTTATTTAATTCATTCTGATTTTTGTACGTGGTGTGAGATAAGGATCCAGTTTTATTCTTCTGCGTGTGTATGTCTATTTTCCCCAATACCATTTAGTCAAGAGACAGCCCTTTCTCCATTGTGTGTTCTTGACGCCTTTGTCAAAAATAAATTGACAATATATGCATGGGTTTATTACTTGGCTCTCTGTCCTGTTCCATTGGTCAATGTGTCTATTTTTGTGCTAATACTATTGCTATGCTGTTTTGATTACTATAGCTTTGTATTAATAATAGATTTTGAAGTCAGGTAATGTGATGTTTCCAGCTTTATTTTTTTTACTCAAGATTGCTTTGGCTACCAGAAGTCTTTTGTGGTTCCACTCACATTTTATGATTTTTTAAAAAGATTCTGTGAAAAATGACATTGGAATTTTGATACGGATTACATTGAATCTTTAGGTTAGGTAGTGTAGGCATTTTAACACTATTAATTCTCTAATCCATAAACATATACTTTTCCATTTGTTTGTATCATCTATAATTTCTTTCATCAATGTTTTATAGTTTTCAGTCTATAGATCTTTCACCTCCTTGGTTAAATTTACTTCTAAGTATTTTTTTTATGTTATTGTGAATGGGATTGATTTTTTAATTTCTTTTTTAGATAGTTTGTTGTTAGTGTAAAGACATGCTAGTGATTTTTGTGTGTTGATTTTGTACCTTGAAACTTTACTGAATTTGCTTATCAGTTTTAACAGTTTTTTGGTGAGATCTTTAGTGGTTTTTACATATAAAGTCATATTATCAGCAAACAGAGACAATTTCACTTCTCTTTTTCTTATTTGGATGCCTTTTATTTCTTTTTCTTGTGTAATTGCTCTGGCTAGACTTATAGTACTATATTGAATAGAAATGGTGAGAGAAGTCATCCTTGTCCTGTTCCTGATTGTAGGGGAAAATTTTTATAAGTGTATAATTTTTAAATGATAAAGGCTATTATGACTTATTTTCTGGTTTAATGTCTCTTATCTTGGAGCATGTTTGATTTTGGGTACTTAGGAAACATCTACATGGGAGAATTTTTTTACAAAAAAAAATTTTTTTCCCCCAGAGTAGGCTAGGGTCTTCTCTGCTGCCCCAAACCCTGTTCTTCTCTATCCTTCTACTCCTCCCTGGAAACATATCCCACATTTTGAAGATATTCTAAGGAGGCCCAAAGTTTAATTCAGGTTGTTTGCTAATGTGAGTACATGGTGAAGTTTTGGCACAGATCCTCTTTGGCTTTGTGTATTCAAGACCTCTGTCTTGGGCCTGGGTCCTTTCATTCCATTTAGAGTTCTGTATAAGATTCATCTTTGTCACTACCACTTGAATAATTTTATCAAGATCAAGGAGAGGAATTTGGAGGCTAAGCTGGGGAATGAGAGCAGAAATAGGCAGATAATCATGCCTGGACCTGTAGCAATGCACCAGGAAACCAAGAGCAGGAACACTTCCCAAGAGCTCCCCCTTTCCCTGACTCTGACTCTGTTACTAGCTGCCTCTCCATTCTCCTCAAAGCTGGCCTACCCCTCACTCCAGATTGTGTCACTATAGTGTATTATAAGGTAGTGTGAATTGAATCGTGCTATTTTCATAAACGGAGAATGATACCTAGGAATATGCCCCACCAAAGTCCTATGTAATATTTCTGGCTTAGCAATGTGAACTTAAAAAAGAGCTATTCTAGAAATAGGAGGTGGCAATGGCAGAACACACCGTGTGTGAGTCATAAGCTAACTAAAATGGTGAACACACCGAACATTGTTAGCATCAGCTCCACCCTGTCTGGATTCTTTGTAAACCTTGACCTTTTGCAAATTTTTAATAAAGTGACTATACGCTCCCTTGGCATTCCCTAAGAATATTCATGATTGAGATTTATAGTAAGGCCCAATATGCATGATATTTACTGTGTCAACAACTTTATCTCCGTGTTTTTCAAAGTGTGGTCAGAATCATCTGGAGTGTTTTTTAGAACTGCAAATGCATGAACCCTTCTGTATATCTCTGCTAAATCAAAATGCATATAAAGTGTATTAACCCAATCTGTTAATAATGATTTAAGTCCTGAATGACTAGCATGGATGGAAAGAGAGTCACTGAAATAGAGGTTATTCCTTTTTTTAAAAAAAAAAATTATTAAA